AGTTGGCAAGATAAGGTATCTATGAATGACATTTTTCGGACATTGTGCCTTCCGCTTCAAAAAACCGGGAAAAAAATCTTTTGGTTCGGCACAGTTCAAGTCGCTAAACATACTACACATTATTTTGACTTCGCTATGTCGTCATTTTTTCCCAACGCCCTTTTATTTCATCTTGCTGCTTTAACTTGTTTGATTCGTTTACAAACGTGGTGGGTGGAAGGATGAAATCAGTTCCACTTTTACAGGTCTATGCTGTGGTGGCATTGATATTGACAATGATGATGAACGATAGTCAAGGGGATGATCATCTTTTCGATAACATCAAATTCAAGCTCGACGATGCAACAATCGATCCAGAGAAGGTAAGTTCCGGTCTTTTCTTTTGCTTGAGAATTCTGATGCTTTTACACTTTCCAGAGATCATTCTGGGTTCTTCTGTCTTCTTTGGTGCTTTTTGTAGCATGGATTATATTCTTGACCTATTATCTATCCAGAATAATTGGCCCAATAGTATCCTTCATTTTAAACAGGTACGATCTGGTTGTTTCGTTGAGGGACAGAGTCGCATATGCTTTGAAATGTCCTTTTCCTTGATTGTTCATATAAACTGCCTTAATTCGTCTGCAAAAAAAAAAAACAAACAAAGTGGAGAGCATCTTGGTCTTTGCATGCTGTAGGTACCGACTGAGTATAGCTGACAATGCATTATTTGAGAATACCGGGATTGAGTTGGGCATAACGCACTTATTTTGCTCCTAGAAATCTTTGTATATTGAACGCTTCCTGTGTTGTTGCTTGCCATAGCCTCATATATACGTTGCAATACAGGCGCAATAGAAAATGATAATGTTCATACCTAGTCTACTGCTAATAGCGAAATTATACTGTATTGGTCAAAAAATAAGGCAATAAAACATAAATGCTTTTGTAGCCTTTTCGGTTGGGAACATAGTGGGACAGAACAGTTTTTTAAGTTGCTGAAGCCGGTATGTCCAAAGAATTATCAGAGAAACAAAAAATCAAACCTAACTTATAAGTGAGATAGACTCGGCTAGGCTTTTGCATGATAAAGTTGACCTGAACGAATTCTTTGTAGTCTAGAGACCATAGTGGACTATCTTATTGAGATTATGTGGACTAGTTTACAGAATTTAGTCTATCATAAATACGTGAAACTAATTTTACATACTGTCGAAATTTGAAAATCTCAAGCATC